AGACAATGGTGAATTATATGAAAGGTATCTTTAAAATGGGAATCTATTTCTAGGTAAGCACATAAAAGGATTGTAATTTAAACATAATCTCATGGTATTTCAGGCTGTTGGTAACTTCATTTTCATTGTCTCTTGGTTTATACATATTTTATAACTAGTCTAATCCTCCCCAAAGTGTCATCATAAGTATACCTGGAAAGTCAAAGCTGTGAAGTGCTCTCTCATATATCCCAATGAAAGTGAAGTTCTTAAAACGTCTAGGCAGCTCATGTATTAACATCAGGAGTTAACCCATTGTTTCGTACTTTTTTATTTGTGTGCAAAGCAAGAGCTAGGAGAGTGCTTTTGCTTGGTAAAATTCTGTTTAGATCTCAACTGTAATTGGCAGAATTACAGTGCAAGACTGTGACTTCCTTTGAGAACAGAATATTGTAGCTTTAATATTAAGCATAAAGATTCCAGGTCTAATGATTTAACAGCCTTATGTCTCTCATTCTGCCACTTTATGCCAAATGAATAAGAAAACTTTAAGTGCCTTTTTTGGGGAAGCTTTTCAGTAGTTGAATTTTATATTTGATCTTAACATTGAGTGACTGTGTTCCCAACTATAACTTTTCTGTTCCATGCTTTAGTGTGAAGTTGAACTTGCTTGCTTGTTTGGTATTTAAGGAACCTTAGCAATCAGTCCATATGTAAAAATATTTCAGTATATTTAATTATTTCTGTTACTAGTAACTAAATTTCTGCTTAATTATTATCCTTCCTGCATATTATAAGAACCTTTGAGCCATAGTAGGAAAAAAAAATGTAGTCTTTTTAAAATAAACATGAGAAATCTCTTACACTCCCTGTATTTTGTTTGCTTTGGGAGAGATGTGAACACTCTGGAAATGAAATTCAATACTCTTAGTTCGGGCTGCTTCAACTTTGAATAAATATGCACAGGATTTAATGCAGTTGAACCAGTTTATTTTAGAGACACACCCACATCGTGCTTGATATTCTCCCCCCAAGAGGTACATCAAACCACGGAGTGAATGTAAGCATAAGGTGTGCTTTGCAGATGCTCATGTGAAAGTCCCAGAGTACAGTCTGCATGTCAGGCTGAGACAGTCACACAACTGTTGTGCTTGTGTTCCTCTCTAGCAAAAGTGGCCAGGCGTGTCAGGTGCAGCCTGGCTGGTGCGGTGCAAGATGGGGCAGCGCTCCCCACTCCGACGGGGTGCCTTGATGGGTGGGCACAGTGGGGAGGCACAGCCACTAGGCACTGAGCTAAGATGCTCAGTGTGCTTTTGGAAGTTTTCTTGTAGGGAGTCAGTGCAGAGGTAGTGTACCATAAATCCATGACCTGACCATCTTGCCTGTTTGTACAAGTCTTTGAAAATATTTTTAATATCCACGCAGATAATTTGAAAGGGAGAGATGATTTGTCCTAAAACCAAACTAGTACAGTAATCCTAGCTGGAATGGGTGTGGGCTACTTCCGTATTGATACAGCAGAGCAATATGTCTACATCCTTTTTAAACGACACGAGCAAAATAAGCTTTAACATCTGAAGAAGTCTTCCGGGAAGGATGCAAATGTAGCATTGGAGAAATGAATAGTTTGTGTTTATGTTTTTCTATAAATGTGGTGCAAGACTGACACATAGATAAGGTGCTTTTCCTCCTGGGATACAGTTCATATTATTGGTCTTTAATGTACACCCTGTCAAAAACATCCTGAAAGCATCAGGACAACTAGCTGTATTTGTATAACCAACCACACGAAGCTGCCTGTGGAATGTGCATTGAGTGAAAATGGACAGATTGTACAGTAGAGGTGGCCCCAAAAGATCTATTCTGTAAAGCTCTCTTTCCCCCTAACAAATTCTCCTAACAAATACACAAAAAGCACTATACAGTGTCCTTTTCTTCAGGGATGAATAAGCACAAGATTCCTGTGGTAGATGCCCCATATTCTAACCCTTTGCATACTTTGGAGATTATCGCGTACAACGTTAACAAAAACTACTCTGCGTTTTCAAAGTAGCACTGTTAAAATCTTACTGTACCACATGTAAGAAAATACTGTGCACTGGCATGCACTGGCAATGTTTCTGGCATTGTTCTTAAAGTGTGTAGTGTTCTTCAGCAGTTTTCAAGATGTCTGCTTTCCTAGGCAGCAGGTATGGCTTTGGCTCTGAAGCTGACTTACACTGGAAGAAGTCCCCAAACAGGGCTTGCTTGAAGGTTGAGGCATGGCACAAACGCTGGGACAGAAACATGTGGGATACTGGAGGGGAAGGTCAACTTTTCCTTTTTCATGGTAGCTAGCCACTAGATGGGCTTAACTATAATATCAAACTGCACCCAATTGTTGACACCAGCACAGGTTGTTTTTAACTTTATGGGAGTTGACTTGTTTGACAAATAGCTATATGTGGACTTTCTGTAAGGCTCAATAGAATTCCATAAGAGGAGTTAATTTCTTAAGTAGGTTAGGTGCTATGCCATTATGATACTTAATGTTTTTGACTTAACTGTAGTAGGAACATTGGGATCTCTATAGCGTTCACAGTAAGACATTTGAATCATTCTTGTGACTCTTGGTGGTTTTGTAATTTCTTTAGGTATGCCAGTTAAAATCCTGACTTGGGAGAATTGATAATTCTTCAATTCATTGATTTCACTTATTTGTAGCATTCTTCTCTTCCTCCAAACTACCACATTTTTACTGGCCTGATGCATGTGTTTCTTGATAGCCTTGTTCGTTTCCTTATTTCTGCAAGTTAGCTTGCTTAGTGTTCTCCTTGCAGTCTTGCTCTGAATTGTGGTGCTGTAGCTCGAAGAACACTTGTTGCTACTTAAAATATGCAATAGTATTTGGTGCTCAGTGTAGCAACTAGTAGAATACAAGTTGTATATATACAACTTGTAGAATACAAGTTTTGCTTTCCTGCTGGAGCTGTGCTGTAGTTCCATACATATTGCTGTTCACTGGAGTGTAAAGAGAAGGGGGATTTGTGTTTTGGCATGGGGTATTTTTGTTGGTTTTGGCTTTTTTGTTAGTTTGATTTTAAGCATAATCTTAATTCCCCCTTGCAAGATTTCTGCAAGGAAATAATCAACTTCATACAGAGTCAGTGTAGTCTCTTGGAGTTGACATAGTGCTGGAGGAGAGCAGCTACTTGCCTCCAGATTTTAACAGGATCTTCCAAGCTGAAGTAATCATTTTGGGGAGAGGGTAATTTTTGGCTGTGAGTTACAGCTCATGTTTGCCTCTGATTTAAGGACAGTTATTTACTGTTTTCTATGTGTAAACCAGTTTCAACCCCTCCAACCCATTTGTGACTCTAATTTTTTTTTTTTTATTAACTTCTACTTCGGTTTAATTCTAGAAAACCTGCAGGTTTGGTTTGTAAGCAAAATGACAAGTGAATGAAAAATTTTGAACTGTTACAGCCTGATTTCCAAACAGGTCTGTGCACATCTGCTTGTGCTTAGTCCTTTTGTGGGGAAACTGTACAGAAATAGTTCCCTTGTCTGATTTGCTGGTATGTAACTGTGATTCTTGCTTTGGGGCTAAAGTAACTTAAGTTCCTATCCAGGAAAAAATGATGTCTAACTTAATGGAGCTCTGGAAAGGCCCGCCTAGTGAATTTCCAGGATCTGTGTCTTTGGTTTTGACACTAGGGATAGCAGGTTAGGAATTGAACCTCTAGGTAGCAAGCATAGTAACTTAGAGCTAGTTGGGACCCCATGACATTTCTAGAGTAGTGTATATGAGATGCCATGTCTGGATGTAAAAGTTGTTTCTAGCATGTTGTAAAACTTGGGAAGCTTCTAGAAGTCCTGAATCAACTCTTACACACCTGATACTCTGTCTTGAAGATGCATGCCTGATAATTACAAGAAGCAACTGATAATAAATTAAATACATACATATATTTCTCTTTCAGGTCTCTTGTGCATCTTTAAAAATCTGTAGGTAATCAGCTACAGTGTGCCTATAGGATAGAAATTTGTTTATTTTTTCAAACCCTGATAAATATTGTCAGGGAAAGAAGACGAGGATTTGAGTTTCATTCATTCAGCAGTGTATTATTTAAGATTTCTGCAAGGAGTGGTATTTTTTTAAAAACATTTGATTTTAGAAAATTCATAGAGGACATTTGTTCGTGTATACCATCTTGTGATAAAAGCTTTCACTTGTAGTGTAGCCTGAAAAGGATGATACCTCCTGCTAACCTATTTCTAATTAGTGTGGAGGAAGAAAAAAGGGACCTTTTAGTAATTCAGCAGTTTGGAAAAGTAAGTAATTGAACAAGCAGTATGGAATGGAATACACCCATTGCTGTACATTTCAGTTTCCTATTAGAGGTCTCCAGATACTGAAATCCTCTAATTTACTTAAAGTGGGCTCATTTGTGTGTTGTTTACCTCATATTCAGCATGAAGGGAATCTGCAGTGAAAGGTGAACTTTAGTGTAATACATGATTTTTGCAGTGACATTGAAATTTTGGGTCTGTGAGAAATATGTATTAAGAACAATGATAGTAAGGAAGAGTCTTTAATGTATTCCATTTAAGAGGTGTATGTTGTCCAGAGTCAGGGTATTTATTCAGCTCATATTTTATAGAAGTATTACTCTTTTCTTTCATCTTGCGTCTTTCTTGCACTGTTCTTCTTATGAAATAGTGCTTCAGTTTTCCTTTCTAGTGTGCTTGTAGTACTGTGCACCACTAATACATAAGGGTTTTCCACGTAAGTGACAAAGTTGTGGTTTTGGATGAAGGCAATCCCTCCCTGCTTTCCCCTGCTAAAATGCTGAGCCTTTTTTTTTTCTTTTTTTTTTTTTCAATGGCAAATTGCTTTGTTACAGAAGGACCCCAACATGCTTTCATGGATTTGATAAACTTCAATGTGTAAGGTCAAAAAACACATACATTACTGTTTGCTTTACTTTACTGTATTTCTCCTTATTTTGTAACCATCAGAGTTTCTTTTCACCTTTCAGAAAACGGGGCAGTACTTGAAGGCTTGACAAATGCATCCCAGGTTGAAAAACTGCTGCATTCCTCCTCCTCTTCCTCCTTTAGAAAACTGACTTCTTTAAAGAGGTAAAGTTGAATGTTGCACTTTCTGTAGAAAATGGGTTTTTTCCCAGGCAAAGTGAACTAAATCTCAACTTCTTCTGTAGCGTGTCCTGTGGTGTTTTAAATTAACTTATATCCATGTCTCATTCTGATGAATGATATCTGTTCCCCTATCTGTTGAAAAGCATGTCTTTGGAAACCTTTGTCTGCAGAGATCTGTTTAGTTGTGTTGTGTTATTTTATAGAATTGTTTGTCAGTGCTTCTGCTGAAGTAAGTCACCCATTATCTATTAAAAAAAAAAAGGGCTTTGAAGCTGATGTGTATTTGTATTTTTTAGGAAAAATGTTGTAAAGATACATGGTAGTGTGTGATGACTTTGCATATAACTGTTATATAGCAATATCCACTTTAAAAAAAAAAAAAGTGACCAAATTATCTCTTAAAATACAGTGTCCCTTCTCAGATTTTTCTGTTTCGTTTTTTTCTGTTCAGGTAGCTGTTAATCTGCAGGTACTGTCAAAAATAAACTTTTGATGAAACCTTAACTAAGAATCACTGTCTTCATATGTCTAGTATGGCTTCAAACAGCTCTTATAAATTGAGGAAACAGTAAAATATCCCTTTTCAGGTCACTATTCTTAGACTTTAGTCTTTAGTATTAGGCTACAGCTTCATTTCGCTTCATCAGATTAAAATTTTCTGGGACCTTCATGACTTCCACAGGTACTGAGATCACACAGAAAGACAAAATAACCCTAGTTGTTTAGACCTATTTAAACATCAAGCAAAGGTGTCTAATGATGCCTTGTGTTTTAAACATTTGTGCTATTGCCTTGAGAATTAAATTTATGAGAATTCAAAAGAGATTAGAATATGACTGGTGTATATAAAATGGAAAATAGTAACCACAATTGTCCTTGCAAGTTTTCTTTTCTTTTGTTTCTGAGAATTCCAACATACTTTTAGAGAGCCAGATCTTGTAGTTTGAACGAGAAGCCTCAAAATTCTTTAAGAACGGGCTTTAAGGAGTAAACACTATTAGGATTTCTAATAACTGGTTTTACGAAACTGTTTTACTTTGAGCTGTATGTAGAACTGTCATTACAATGTCTCACATTTGTTCCATGATGCTCTTTACTTTGCTCCACTGGTCTTTTCTTTGTACTATATTTGGTAAGGGAGCAAGAATGGGATGATGTGTTTGTCTTAAATAATGTACATTTTGGCCTGAAGTACTGAATCCTTTTTTATTCTCCCCCATCAATGTGCACTACTTTTGACTAGAAGTCTGAAGAGATCAGTTTAGTCATTGTTAGAGAATGGGACCAGTTGTCCAAAATGAACTTTTCCTACTGTTTTGATATATAATTCTATTGAAAATATGTTAACAGCTTTTCATTGGGGTAGGATTTTACAAAACTAAGTTTTGCTGCCAGAACTCTTATTTATAAATTTCTTTTTTCCTTTCTCTCTTCTAAAGGTAAGAGAGAAGCAAAATAAGTAAGAAAATGCTGGGATCAGAACGAGGTGTTGTGGAAGAATGGCTGTCAGAATTCAAGGTGAGCTGAGAAGATGAATGATAGCTATACCATTGGCTTTATGCCACTGAACATTGTTGGTTTTTTTTTTTTTTCTTTTTAAATACCCAATAACTAACATTTTAAATATCTATTACTTGATCTTTCAACTTCTTATAATGCATAAAGCATTCAAAGGTTTATGTAAATGAGTCAGATGGTACATAATACGCAATGCATAGTTCTAATAGTAGTTTATTATTGTAGAGCAGAACACTGCTATAGCAATGTGGTTTTTTAAAGTATATATTTCTGTGTAGATCAAGCTGATAGAATTTAACTAACAGCTGGATAACGCTGCCCAAATTTCTAATTGAACAAATTTTCTACTAATCTTTTTAAAATAAAAATGTTTGGAGTTTAAAAAAATATTAAACAAAAATATTTGGCTGTTTTTTTTTCCTATGGTCTGCATAAAATAAATTGTTTTGTCATGAAGAAACTGAAGTATTTTGAAGCTATTTTGCATGTTGCTAATTATGCTAAGTGAAATACAAGATAATGCATAAACAAGAAAACTGAATTTCATGACTGATATGAAATTAAATCTGTGATTTAAATTAAGAATTAGTAATTCTTCACATCATTGATGATACACAATAAGTCATTATGTGCTGTTTTTGGAAACTTGTTGAGGAGCCAAGGATGCAAAATCCACAGACATGGTTGCTTGGTGGGACTCAACACTGTCCATGCTCATTCTGGATTATCCACACCTCTTGAATAATTCAAGTTGATTTGATAAAGACTTTGAAAAGTGCCTGTTAAGTACAGAATATCAAGAAGAAGAGTCCTCATATCAAGCTGGAGCAAATTATTTTATGAAAGATAAATCTGAAACTGCTTTTGTATTTAACCCTGAAAGTTGGTATGTGCCCCCAAATGCTATTCATATGGAGAAGAACTGATACTGAATGAACTCAGTTACAAGTCTGAAAATTAACTGAACTTCAGGAATTTTTCTTGATGTTGGGATGAGACTGAATCCTTTTGTGGAGATCTTTAATACTTGGAAGCATCAATTTATTGGGTAACACCTTTTTTTTTTCTTTAGGTATTACCTGAAACACAAGTTTCCAGCTATGCAGCTACATTGCACCGAAAAAAACCACTGGTACCAGCTCTTTATAAGGTCATTCAAGACCCAAATAATGAGGTAGGAGACTTTAAAAAAGATTTTTGTTCCCATTCTTATATCTTCCACCTCTACAACTAAAACTAGAGTAATTGAGAAGTGGAGATGGAGAGGAAGATTCTTCGATTCCCCTTTCTAATGTAGTCTAACATGGGTATAATCCCTCTTTTTACTCTCTTGTTTTTTGACAGTTACTTTAATGCCTTTCTGGTAAGACACAACCTCATCTGCTCGCAAAAATACAGTTTATGCTGTCTGCTAGATTTTAGGTGCCACAGCTGACTTAGACTTGTTGTGGTATGAGGTTCCCCCTTCCCCCCCAGAAACCACCTTTCAGTCATAACAGAGATAAAGTAGGCCTTACAGTGAAGCTCAGTAAGACCAATGTGCTTCTCACCTGCTGGTTTATTACAGTGGAAGATGGAATCAGTTTATTAAATCATATTAAAATAACCAGATCTTCTTTTGCTTATAGTAGTATCATGTTTGTGTAATTTGGTTTACACCACTGTAAACAAGAGCAGAGCCAGGGCCCCAAAATATAAATATACACAATGAAAACTTAGCTTACCCTTGTACATAATTCATTTTGCAAATGACGTTAAACTGAGCTTTCTATTCCATTGGCTTGTGCTATAAGCATTTCTGGGAAAGTGTGTGACATACAACTTCTGAATAAATTGTGCAAGCATACCATTCTCTTCTGTGTAAACTACTCTAGATAAAATGCTTCAAAATATTTGATTTATCATCTGTGATCTCTTGTATATTTAAAAATCAAATGGCAAGTGTACACAGCAAGGAAGTTCTTTATTTTCCTAAACACAGCTCAGCTGCTTTTGGAAGCTGAATGCTTCATTGAGCTTAAAGGAGATTGCATAATGCTCATGCAATAAAAAACCCCCCCACTTCATAGCTGTCAACTTCAATTTCAGTGTTACAAATAACTTGCATAGTGACCTTTTTCTTTGTACGGAAGCTACCATTACTCTCTCCAACCTGAAGCCACCATTGCTGCTGTTGTCTTGTAGTATATGTGTATGTGTTTGTGTATACTTCTGAAAATATAAAAGCTTTCCTGTCCTTTGAGAATAAGCATTTGATTTTTTTTTTTAAATGATGCAGAGAACCAGATTTGCAAAAAGAGTATCTTCTTAAGGGTGTGACAGTAATCTTATGTTACTGCACACTGATGCTTGTCAGATATTAGTCTTTGGAACTTTGCTGTTTGGTCCTGATTCTGATATCAGGTATAAGATAAGCAATCCCAGACTCAAAGATGACTAACTTCAGGTTCTGCTTGTTAAGGCAGCATGTATTTCCTTGTTGCATTTCTTCCAGACTTACTTACGTGAGGAGTATAACCGTAGTAAATTCATTACTTTGCATAAATCTGTGGTAAACTTTGGCTCTAAGGAGAGTTTTTTAGAACATTCTTTACAGGACTTTATTTGTTAGAAGGATGACTTATTGCTTATGAAGATAAAGCTTATATGGTAAACTATTATAAAAATGTGCTTGCTGGATTCTTAAACTTGATGGACAAGTCATTTTTTTAGTACAACTTAATCATAAAGTTGATCTAGTTCTAAAACTTCCTGAAAGGGCCAAACTGTTTAGGACAAACATTAATTTTTCTAGAATCACATAATTCTATCTTGATAAGACTGGGATTATTAATTTAACATGGAATCAGCATGTTTAGGAACCAAAACAAACCACCAAAGTATTTCTCTCTTTTGACAGCTGTCTACCAATTTGCGAGCTATCAAATGAAGGCAAGCATACTGTCAAGTTAAATATAATTGTTACTGTTTACCTTTTAGGAAATTTCCTGACTTTTTTTAATATGGGGAAGATAATGCCTGGAACAGAAAGTTACATAACGAATAGAGAGTGATCTTGCTCATAAACAGCTTATTTAACTGAATAATGTATTGATTTTTTCATAATATTTGAATTCTAATGTAAAGTGCTTTTGAAGTACTGGGCTTTTTAGATGTATAATTTTTGGAGTTGGTTTATAGAAGGCCAACAGCATCCTGGCTTGTATCAAGAATAGTGTGGCCAGCAGGACTAGGAAAGTGATTGTCCCCCTGTACTCGGCACTGGTGAGGCTGCACCTCCAATACTCTGTTCAGTTTTGGGCCCCTCAATACAAGAAGGACATTGAGGTGCTGGAGCATGTCCAGAGAAGGGCAACAAAGCTGGTGAAGGGTCTGGAGCACAGGTCTTATGAGGAGCGGCTGAGGGAACTGGGGTTGTTTAGCCTAGAGGAGGCTGAGGGGAGACCTATCGCTCTCTACAACTACCTGAAAGGAGGTTGTAGTGAAGTGGGTGTTGGTCTCTTCTCCCAAGTAGTTAGCGATAGGACAAGAGGAAATGGGCTCAAGCTGCACCAGGGGAGGTTTAGACTGGATATTAGGAAAAATTTCTTCACGGAAAGGGTAGTCAAGCATTGGAACAGGCTGCCCAGAGAGGTGGTGGAGTCACCATCCCTGGAAGTGTTGAAAAAATGGGTAGATGTGGCACTTGGGACATGGTTTAGTGGGCATGGTGGTGTTGGGTTGATGGTTGGACTGATGATCTTGGGGAGCCCTTCCAACCTTAATGATTCCTAGTTTTTACTTTCATTAAAAACTAATCCAGCCACCAAGCCAGGAAACATGAAATTGCTACTCTACCCTTAATTGGTTTAGTGGTGGACTTGGTAGTGTTAGGTTAATGGTTGGACTGGATGATCTTAAAGGTCTTTTCCAACCTAAACAATTCTATGATTCTATGACATAAATGCTCTATGGATTTTAAGTTAATGCAGTACTGAAATTTAAACATTGAACGTTCATGTGGGGCTATTTAGGTTTAACTTGGAAAGCTCAGCCTTGAAACAAAATGAGATCACCTTTGCAATGCCAAACATTTCCCAGACCCAGTACTCTTCGAATAATAACTAATTTTACCTATGATGTTATAGTTAAGCCTAAAATGAGGACATTATTTTCTACCACAATTGAATTCTTCAAAAAGACAAGCATTTCCAATCTTCGTCATGCATTTTATAATAACATTATATTTGACTTCAAGGTATTGTTCTTAAGATTTGGCAAACTTGTAAAATAAGCCAAACTAAAGCTATTCATCAGCTTCCTTAAAACATGACTAGTTTTAATCTCTGTGAGGTGTAAAAATGAAGTCTGCAAATTATATCATTGTCACTTACTGTATGTAAGCCAGTAAAAATTTTGGTTGTAATTGTTTGTTGTGCTAATTGCTGTTTATACTCATAGGAAAGCTCTTTTAATATAAGTTTTTAGTTTGTCAGAAAAGAGATACAGTTAGACTTTTTACTTTTTTAGATTTTTTGGCTGAGTGCTGTGTTACTCAGTTCCTTTGACTTTGGACTGAAAGATTTTTGGAATTAAAAAAGTGTGTGCTGGTTCATGTATACACCCACTACTGGTGACGAAAGCTCCATTTCCTCTGTTTTTCCAGTGTCTTTTCAATATATATATTCAGAGAATTAATTGCAAGAGGCTGGTTCTCTGAAAAGCAAGGTAACTAGGATGCAGGGAAAACGTTTGTTCTTTCTTAACAGTGTCAAGTTTTGTGTTTCCAGGTGGGAGACGATCATACTATACTTTGATAGGAAAAATTTGGGTGTTCATGCCTTTGAAAATATTTGCTTTGTAGTGTCTTTGTGATGGCAGCTTTTTCTTGTGGACTTAAAGCTCTGAACAGACCAAAAGCGCTATAGTAGTTGCTACAAACAGCTTTCAGGTTTTCATCTAAGTAATTTGCAGTTGTTAAACCTTCTGCGCAACTAATATGACAACTACTAGAAACGAGTATTTACATGTGTTGCAGCACCAGTGGCTGGATATTGCTTGTGTCTTTCTAGGGAGCATGGTTTCTCTTAAAAGACTAATTTTATAAAATTTTCATTTGAAAGGAAGTAGAATAAACTCACTAACTGCTCTGGTTGAGTCTCATCTGACTTTAGTTAAAGTAAATTATTCTTTTCCACTGTTTTTAATGGGACTTGGATTAGACTGGCTAATTTCAAATAGGAAACAGCTTTGGGCTGCTGTCATCTCTAATCTAATAGAAATACTGTTTATAGCAATGCTGCTGTATATATCTGGTTTCTGATAATATTTGTTTAGCTTTTATTGCACCTATTATCTCCTTGCAGATATGCTTGTATTTATTGTTTCCAGAGATTTCTTCTTTTTCTTCTTTATGCAAGCTTCTTGCTCATATTTTCTTTTAAAGAAAACCTACAAGTTTATTCAGTGATCTCTGAATGTATTAACCACTTTTTTTATTTGAAGATCTGAAATGTGCTAGGCCTTTCATAAAACAAGGATATGGTTCTGTCTCTGAAGATTTGAACAATTACTGTAACAGATGGTTTTGGTTTTAATAATTAGTGTCACTTTTAGATAGGAGTTTCTACTAAGTAAATATTAATTAAGGAAGAATATACTTATGAATCTTTTGAACATAAAGTGTTATGTATGTATGAAATACTGGAATAAATATACTAGATAAAATAATATATGCTCAACCTGGTAGAGAAAGCCCTAGCATTATTTTATTAAAATGATTGCAATAGAAGCTTTATGGGCTTCTGATTTCATTTAGATCACAAAACAAAAATTAAGTGTTGAGGTATTCTACGTATACAGCTTGTAAAAATCTGTGTGCGCTGAGTTACTGGACTTCTCGCATTCTGTATCAATGTTGTCAGTGTCAGCTCTCTTCCCTCCCTCTCTTGTGGAGTCTCTCTTTGCTTCTGTTGTAAAAACAGGCTTTTAGCTTAGAGTAACTAAGCTGTCAATCAGAAGCCTTGTTACACAAGGTACTTATACCAGAGCCTTGTATAAGAAGAGATTTGTCTGATAGCAAAATTTTATTCTGCAAAGATGTCATGTAATGGCTTATGTAATCAGTGGTTTAAAAATTATATGCTTCATTGACCAGAATACTGTATGTTAGAAATGAAACTAATATGTTCACCCTTTCTTGGGTGATGCTTTCTTAAGGCAGCTGTCTTGACAGAAAATTCTGTCAAATTTATGTCTTATGTTTCTGATACGCTGGAGTAAAATATCTAAGTCTAAATATGTGTATGTGAAGTTGTACAGTCATACAGATTTATGGCATTGCACATTTATTGAACATTCAAACTAACTACTTGTAGAAATGTCTGTCCCTCTGCTGATAGCAAGGGACTTCTTCAAAGTTTTTTAAGAGGTTGGATGGTTCACAACAAACCACGGAAGTACATCTTCATACAGCATAGCAAAAGAGTGACAGTGAATTCTACAGGAAATTCTGGGTACTAAGATTTTGATGAATAGACAAATTATGAAAGAAGAATGCATCAAAGTCTATGAAACATACTGCTAATGCTCTGGAAGTCCTAAGGTGCATATCCCTGGGAGTGAAGGGTGTACTGGAAGAGGAGTCGTATATGCCTTCTCTGATCTGCTCTGCACTGGGTATTTCCTATTTATGCCTTTCTGTCTCACCAGTACAGCTGCTATTGTGATGGTCAAATGTAGGGTTTTTATTGCTCTAAAAAATTATATGTATAATTTAATGTTTAATATTATGTATGTATATAACAGCTGTATAAAACATGTACAGTTAGAAGGAAGACTTATCTGAGATTCCGGCTTCTATTTTCTGACTCTGTAACTCTTCTATATGAATATAGATGCTTTAGGTTACACGGATGCCTCTGTCTTTTTGGACATTGAATCCCATGAGTATTTTCCTTAGGTCAGATCATCCCATTTCTTAGAAGGTAATACTAGATACTGGTTATAAACTTTATGAAAATTCCTCTCTGAATATTTTTTTTTTAATTTAGTTTTTTACTTTGGTATTAAAAACTCGATTAGTCATGGGAAAGGAGGAGACAATTTGATGTTCTTTTTTTCTTTTTTTTTTTTTTCCTGTTCATTAACAGTTCTGTGGATGCATCTTAACTATTGGTTTGGCATTGCAGACTCTTAAAATGGCAGGGGTTTTCTCGTGCTTATATCACACTGACTTGATAAAGGCCTTTTTTGATTCTTGTACTGAAACCCGAAGGGCAGCTCAAGATGGGAAATCAGTTTGCATTGTAATGAACAAACGCACACTTGTTGGGTTTGAGACTAAAAAGCTGTAGGTAAGAATTCATATTTCTGTCAATAGACTTGTCATTAGCAGCTGTCATTAGCAGCTAATCTTTAACCTTTGTACTTTTATAAGCCTTACAACTGCACCATTGAAGTTTTATGGTGTGTGTAGTTCAAGCCACGTGTCTGTCACATGCCTTAAATTAGTACCTGTATGCAAAATAAATCTCATACTGACAGCCCTAGAGAATAAGGTTCTCAGAGCACAAGATGGTAGTGGCTGTAGTAAGGCCACATTTCCCAATACTGCATACCAGTGCCCCTCAGGTCTGTCCTTATAGATCTCCTTAAAAGGAATGCAGATACAGTTTTGGTTCATTCACTTACTTGCCATCAAGGAGTATCACTTTTACTGGATGCAGTGGCTATATGATATAGCCCCTATATTTGCTATTTCATTCTCCCTTATTAAGAGAAGCCTAACGGTAATTCATTAGCTTTTTTGCCTTTCCGCAGCTCCTGGAGCCTGTTTGCCACCAGCTCTTTGAACTTTATCGTAGTTCTGAAGTTCGGCTCAAGAGATTCACGCTGCAATTTTTGCCAGAGTTGATCTGGGTATATCTGCGTCTTACTGCCAGCAGGGATAGGCAGAGTAATGGTTGCATTGAAGCATTGCTGCTTGGCATTTACAACTTGGTAAGTGAGATGAGTAGGAACGGCTGAGGAAAGCTTTGATCTGAGGTTTTGCGTCACTGACCACTAGGACTAAAGTAAATTATTGGAACAACATATTTAAAATTATAATACGCTTACATGAAAGTGTATTTAATCTGGAGAAAACATAATGTAATGAAGGTTTAATAAGAACATGCTTGTAAAATTATTTTTTATTTTTTCTAGTAATCTTTCTGGGACAAACATTTAAACTAAAAAGGACCATCTCGTGGGCTTTCTTGAACTGTTATATACTTGTGTTTGTAAGGAAATTAAATGGCCCTCCTTAATGTTGAAAAATACAACTTTCTATGGAGGTGATTGTCAGGCCAATGTGCTTGGTCAATCTTCATGTGTGACCTACCCCTGCCCGTGCTTCCCCTGTGCCCCCCCCTTACTCTGAATATGTCTTGTTAAGGGTAATTTGAAGCTGAAACCACTCTGAGTGGTAGCACTTATATACCTGCATGTGTACATTTGAGGCAGATAGTTGTCTTGAGTCTAACTGTGATTTTAAGAGTAAGTAAAGGTAACTGTAGATGATTAAGTTTGTCTGTTGGATGTAAAAGTAATTTTTTATATCCTTACCTTAGCCTGGAAACGTTTAGTCTTGTAACATTATGAGACTGTTTGACAAATTTAGCAATACTGCCAGGATAGGCATTCTATAATGGGAATTTCTGTGTTATAGGACTTTAAAACGTATTATAATGAAACATTGCCATTCTCTCTACTATCATAGTAAACCCCTCCTTTAAATTGTGTATTATGTTTCTACACGATGAGACACAGAACAGTCAAATTGTGATTCTTTAAAAAAAAAAAAAAATCTTTTTATGTGTCTATAGATCAGCTCTAACAACTGGAAGATCCAGTTACTTTAGGTTTATTCTGATAGAAAAAAACATTGGAAACTGCTTGCTTATTTTTGGTACTGTTTGCTGGGTTGAAGTAGCATGTTTATCTTTGTCGACCATTTTCTCATAAAGGTCCTTTTGCAGTTTCTTTGAAAGTCATGTTGGTGATTCATATTTTTTAAGGACAGGAATTTCTTCATTCTGTCCAGATTCAGGAAGAAAGAGACCTCAAAATGGACAGCGACTCCCACTATTTTTTTTCTTGGTTAAGTTGTTGATATTTTTCTGCACATACACTGAGACTGAAGGAGTGAAGTTATTTTCTCAAATATTAGGAAGTGAAAGACAAGGATAAATCCTTTGTGTAATTCTGCTAAATTCTATCAACTGTCCTCCCATTGTGATCTGTAAAGTCTACTACAAGTACTGTGCTACCTTGGACTAAGTTTTCACATAAACTGGAATGACTAGAGCTCATTGTTTGGGAAATCTGCTGTACAAAGTGAAAACGCAGGATTTTAGACTCCTTTTTGATATAGTCTTATGTAATTGCTCAGTATATTTACTTCAAAAACTGCTGGGTTTGCTTATGTAGTAGCCTAGCAACTATAAAATCTGACCAGTTTGAAAGCCTTTTGAGAAAACATTCTGTGTATTTCTTACTGATAGAATGGCTGAAGAAACTTTGCCAGTCCCCTTGATTTCACCTTTTCTCTGTGGTGCATTTATTATGAATTACTGCCCACTGTCAGCAAGTGACTCATCAGCCCTCATGTGTCTGTATCTTTTGGGCTTAAAGTTTAGCCTTGCTCCACTATGCAATTCTATTATTAATAAATGTTATAATGTAAAGGTGGGCTAGAAAAGCTTTTTGTTCTTTTTTGGTTTTGATGAAGTCACACTGATCAAGGAGCCAGTGCTGGTTTTTTTTAAGTGTTGCAGACTGATTCTGCAAAACAGTCTGTGATAAAGTCTTTCCCACTTTTTAAATACGTATGTGAATTTGCTGATATTCTGCAAACGCACAGAGACTTTAGGGTGTTACTAGTCTTATCAGATCAGGACATCTAACTTCTTACTTGTTAAATGCCTTCTAAGATTTGAAAATTATTACAAGTCTTATCTCCTGTTTGGGTCTTGGTTTTGTTTTTTAATGCAGGAAATTGCTGACAAAGATGGAAACAACAAAGTTTTATCTTTCACCATCCCTTCATTATCTAAACCCTCAATATATCATGAGGTAAGAGAGCTGCTGTGGTAAATTAGAATTGGATCTATTAGAAGAATGAAAACTGGATCTATTTGATGCAACAGGCCATTTTAGATGCATCTTGTTGGAGTAGGTTTTCCATGTCAGTAGCTTGCAACTAGTGTAATCGAATTCAATAGCATTAGTAGAAGAAAAGGTGTATAAACGTTGAAAAATATTTGCTGATAGTGCCCATTTTGAACAGAGGTTAGTTGTGTTGTAGTTGCAACTGTGGTTTTTTGCCTCTTACATGTTAGTATAAAAGTAGTCTTCCTTCTTCTAACTCCTTAATACAGTTTGAACTTGGAATCGTGTTTTTCTCTGTTGTTACTGTACAAAAGGTCTATGCAATTAGGATAAACTTAATGTAAATGGATATGTAAGAATCAAAGTTAAAAATTGCTCTTACTTCCTCTATTGCTTGTAAGTGTGGGAACTGCTTATAGTAATGAAATTAGGTAATGTTTTTAGATTTACTGTATTTTGGAATAATCTTCACTTTTACAGATCACAAGACAAGTGTGTCTTTTGGCTTGGGTGGCTAGGAGTTTTAATGCTTTCGGGGACCTTTTACTTACGGCTTGATTTCTCCCCCCTCCTTCCTTCCTCCTCCCATCATCTACTTCTAGCCCTCTACTATTGGATCCATGGCTTTAACTGAAGGAGCTCTATGTCAGCATGATCTCATCAGGGTAGTTTACAGTGATCTTCATCCTCAAAGAGAAACCTTCACAGCACAGAACCGGTAGGTGGATGTATTCTGACATTAGAGGTGCTTCATTAGGCAGACAAGAAGTCCTTAAATGTTAAGACTAAATATATTATGTGTTCAGTCCTTTCTCAACGTCAAGTGCTTGGGAATAAATCTAGAGAAGAGTCTTGGTAATCTTGAGGTATGGTATTTCTGATGTTTGTTCCAACTTTGTGTGTTCTTCCAGTTCATTTAGAAGAGAGTAACTTCTCTGTCATTTCTGTGTCTGTCAGGAATGTCTTTGGGTTTACGTCTGTCAACTCAAGTTTTCCTGGAAGTGTAACAAAATTCAGCTTTGGCTCTGAGGCTGTGACTGCTCTTTCCACAGGAAGAGAGGAGTGGAGCTGAGTGGTAGACAAAACTAGGGATGAGAGAAATTGCCCTGCAGTTATAGTGACTGCCAGCTTTACTTGTGTCTAAAGCCAGTTCTGGGAAAACTGATAAAATAATTTTGAATGCATTGCAGACTTGTCCAGTTCTAGAACTTTGTCCAAATATTATGCCATATGCCATTTCCTCCATAGTTCCTGCATATGCGAATGGTTTTCAGTAATAATAAATTTAAGTGTTTAATACTGAACCTTTAATAACCTGTTTCAAGTTAGTGAATGAAAGAGGATTTCAGGATTTGTGTTTACCTCTGATACTTTTTCCTGTGAGGTATTTTTGAGACTGAGTTGTAGAATTATTGTGTCAAATTCTGATGAAATATTAAGAATTTAAACCATGCAAAGTTTTGCTCTTGTCTCTTTTCAGGTTTGAGGTGCTGAGCTTTCTTATGCTGTGCTACAATTCTGCTATTGTCTATATGCCTGACTCTTCTTACCAATCGCTTTGTAGGATGGGTTCCAGGTGAGACACTTGCTTTGAAATAGTCTTGCAGGGTGCATCAAGGCTTCTAAATATTCATCCAGCAAAAAAAGAATTAATTTACTTGTTGTGTTTAATAACTTACAATATTTAACTCTTGGTCAGTCCTGCAATTTAATTGGAAATTTGAAGCTGTGCTTGCATATAGATAAAACACGTGGATTATTTTACTACTGCGTGGGCTTTTGTTCTAGTTATGTAACTTTCTGTTATTTGTAAAGAAAAAAAAAAGCAATTTTGGGGAAAAATTACTTGAAGCTACTCAGACTGATTTGCATTTTTTGGATTTACATATCTTTCGGACATTTTTCAGTATGGTCAGCTTAAAAATCCTGTGAGGAATACCACCAGTTTCCTCTGCTTCCAAATGTTAATGTCTTGCTTCTCAGGATGGTTTATATGAAGTGCTTACACAATGTTCTGGGTTTTAGTGGTTTGTTTGGATTTTTCTTTGGGGTTTTTTTGGCTTTTTTTTTTGTTTGGTTTTCTTTTACCCCCCTTCCTTTTTTTCCCTGATAATAACAACCCACTTTCTGGATAATTCACTACTGTGATTTCTCAAACTCTTACACATGCCCTTTATATAACCTTCTGCTTGAATAGTCTTACAAGCATCTGGTTGGCAAAGGTCCCTGCTTTTTGTTCTGAAAGATCTCAAGTATATCTGATATTCCCATATGCCTGTTTTTACCAGAATTTTTGTCTAAAATGAGATAAATCGTCTCTCCTGCTACCCCCAAAGCAGAGGAACCTCTTTAAATGTTTTTGATTTAGCTTGTTTGCTTCAGCACAACGCTGCCGTGAAAGAAAAGCATTACATGCAATTCAGTTATGTAGCAAAGAAGGATCAGACTAGCTTCCAACAACACACATTCTGTAGTAACACACACATGCAGTTAAGATTATAGCTTGTTTTCTTTCCTGTGATTTCTGATGGGAATGGGTTAATTCTTGGTATACTTCCATCATCTTCATTTGAGTTGTGGCTATGCTAAATTTGCCAAATATGTTGAATTTTTCTGCATTTGAAAATGAGTTCCATTCTTTGGGTAGAGAAGTGAGACAACATTTTATAGGTAGGGATTTTATTTGTTGTTTTTGAAACAGTGCAGCAGTTACTATGTATTAGTGGCCATGTGTTGCTTCCATGATGAAGATTCAGATATTAAAGTTATGAATAAATTATTCTGTTTTTTTATGGAGACCCGATGCTATGCAGTATATGGGAAGGCAGGCCCTTTTTCAAGGGTCAGAAGTGGTTTTTTTTTTTAGAAGGCAGCTGAGAGCAATTCTCAAGAGTACAGTATCTGTGTTTTGAACTTTAGGTAAAAGGTGATTGCATGCTGTCATCATACATTAGATGGGAGATGGCATATTTCTCTTCTGTACTACTGAAATGTTTCCTTTAAAGTTGGTTTCAGTTACTGAATTTTGGGGAGGGTCTCCTACTTGGTGGCTGGTGGTACAGAACATCTTGCTACCCTCATTCTTTAGAAGCTGGTTATGATTTGAAGAAAACAGATGGAGTTAATGGCTTCTATGGGAATAACACTGGATTATCAGCAAGCCACATCTCAAGGCACTGCTATAAAACTGCTTTAATGGTTGGGGGAGCAACATAAGAATGTTCTATGTTGTGTACTTGTATTTTGAAAAATAAATTTTGAAAATAAACTAAAATCTCTGATGTAAAGACATTTGGAGTCTTTGTGGGGTCAACATTTTGTTACAATGGCGTGTTTTTTTAGGCTGTGTGTGAGTGGATTTCCACGGCAGCATGAGAAACGCTGGAAAGAGCACTGTGGTAGAGTGGTGTTAGACCCTGACTTCATGGTGCAGCTGCTCACGGGTGTCTATTACGCCATGTAAGTGGATGGGGGTTTTTGTATAAAGAGGAATGTCTGGTTTTAGCTAAATTAAAATATAAATGCTAACTGTTTTATGGTTGAAAAAAATAGTTAAACTCATAACACAAGTTTATAACTTGATTAGTGTATTTCCTGTTACTTGCTCACTCAGCCATAACAATTTGAAAGTATCTTCGTCAGCATTGAATTAGGTGATGAAGGGCCAGCAGTAGGTGCTGAAAAGAGTGAGGCTTCTGGCTTCATCTTCTCCCAAGTTTCTGCTACCACCAGATACCTTCTGTTCACAAGAATGATGAGCTTGGTTGCCAGGATAACCTGATGAAATGCAGACCTTTTGAATGGCAGTAGCTTCTGAGGTAGCAAAAATCCATTTCTGATGGAAATTCAGTTCTGCTAAGTAGTGTTAACCTTCACATCTTGACCCCATGTTTTTTTATTGTTTGAGGTTGTCCTGATTATGGCATCAACTTTGTCTTGCTTGGAGGTGACAGGAAGCAGCTTTTTTGTTATACCAACAAGATTAATAATGAAATGCTTTGCCTGTACTTCTAAAAGAAGCAAAGGGGCTGGGGTGTACATACAGTTGATGAACTCTCTACATAAGCAAACAAGCGAGGAGCTGGATTTGGGCAGAAAAAAAGACAAGATTGAGTTCATAAGCTATGAAAGATAAATATCTATCTTTACTTTTTAGATATAATGGTCAGTGGGATCTTGGCCAGGAGGTATTGGAGGACATAATTTACAGAGCCCAGCTTGAACTCTACTCACAGCCTCTGCTGGTAAGAAACAATCCATTGCAATCATAAATTGATTTGGTTAAGGTTAAATGGACTTGGTTAAGGAGTATGGATGTGTTTCTGAAGTGGATTGGATTCATTTAATGAAAGCAGTAAAGGCCATTTACTGCACTCCCAAATGCAAGTGGTTGTCAACAGCTGGTGTTTTCAACATAGCTATTTACACCATGCTTTTTCTCCTTGAGTATTCAGCTAGGGTGTTGGGATCTCGTAGGACTCATTGATGCTGAAAGCTAGGATTTTCTAATGTATTACAGTTGGATAAAAATGTTTATGTCGTTTGGCCTAAGATACCAATGAGTGATTCAAAGAAGCTTAACCAAATGCTTATATGTCATAAGACATTGGTTGTACAAAAGGTGTTTTCTTTGCTTCTAGACCTTCAGCAGGTCTTAGAATATGCTGTGTAGTTTAACTGATAGCACAGTAGAAAAAGCAACAATAGGACAGAGCTGAAAGTGAAAAGGAGCTTCATCTCCAGAGTCAATGTCAGATTTTGATTGATCAAAGTCACGCAGGTCTTAATCTTTACCTTATTTAGTGGAGCAGCAATAGAATGGAGTTCTTCTGATTGTTTGGCTTCTTCAGTTTCTACTATACTTGCTGTTCTGATCATAAAAAGAGAGAAATGAAAAGGGCGAGGTGGTGAAACTGGGCTGGATGCAGGTGAGTGTGATTGGGGCGGATGAGGAGGTTGACAGAGAGAAAGGAGGGATGGAAAGATTTTATTTTTTATCAGATATAGGAATCAACATAAGAGGGAAAATTAAAGAGAATAAAGTAAATAGACTATTGTCTCAGTTTCTGCATCAGAATTATGTCTGGAAGCCTTTAGTGCTCCTCTGAACTAACAGCAGTAACATTTCACTGCTTTTTCCATAACTGAGAAAGGAGTGGATTGGGAAAAATCTTTTTATGTGGCAACCTGAGATCCCTCGCTTCTGCAGTAAATTACATAAAATTATTCTCTTGATTAATATTGGCTGTAAAATTTATCTACAGGCTTTCTGACACTGCTGCATTTTAAATGCTTGGTATCCATTGAATTATTATAATAGTTGGTTCCTTTTGGAAATGACTCATCACTCCATCAGACTGAAAGTTTTAAATTAAATATTGAACCTGCTGAATTGGGCCACCCTATCAAACTACTACATTTAAAAGGTGTGTAGGAGGATCTGGAACTTAATTCAATTGATGATATGACAGTTTTCAGTCCTGACTGTTCATTTTTAATCAGTTTGGCCTTAGAGATTACTTCTAATTGTAAGAATCTTCTAGAATGTCTTTGTTTTTTCCGAACTTATTTTTGCCTCTCCATCCCATTGTCTGCCATCCCCATGTCATGCCATCACCAATTTTTCCCCCTTTCCCCAGTTGTCAGGCTTTTCATGCATGAGTGCAGGCACATCTGTGGGGTTTTCTTCTTAATACTCTGATCGTTGCCTTGCTTCCTATCTTGTTTTACTGCAATTTTTAAAAAGCAGCTTTAAGAAAGCTGTCAGCTTTATAAAAAGCTGACCTGCATGTCCTTGGCCTCATGCTATATGTTCAAGCAATTTGACTTTTTCAAAGGTTGGAGTCCTTTCACCTCATTGCATTCTCCAAGAGATCTGTATAATTTAGCAGCATTATAAAATTTTGTATTTTAAACTTAAAACTACTTGCACCAAGTAAAATATTGTCTGTGCAGTATCCCAGATAAGTTTCAAGTTCAGCCTCTGCCGATGATTTCCTAACAGCAGCAAATTCTTTGAAGTCCATTTAATATTTAGGCAGACCCCCTTGTTAGGATTATTTTTAGATATCTGTACTCAAGCTATTTGTATAATTATGGGAATACCATCAGTCATCATTACAATGAGAAACATCACAGTCCCTGTGTTTGGGTATGTCTCTCAGAGAAATATTTTGGATAATATAGTAGATCCATGCTCTTATTTAAATAAGTTTATATTGCCTGTGGACTAAAAAAAAAACAAAAAAAACCAAAAAAACCCCCAAACCAACCTGAAATAGCAGCATCAGAAAGTTATGAAGTATCTGTAATGTAGAAGTAGTCATCTTTCACTGTTAACCCAGAGACTGCACTGGAAAGTGCAAGAAGTAATGCAAGGGAAAGGCTTTTTCTGGGAAAAGAAAAGTATCTCTGTTAACAAACACTGGGTATTGGTTTTCATAGTCATGAAAACTGGGAGTTTCTACAGAGGGAAGCTAATCACCAAGACTCAGTATTACTACCAAGCTATCCTGCACCTGGGGAGTAGTTCAGTTCCAGTCTACCAGTCTCTTCCTCTGAACACAAGAGTTCTGCACTTGTTTCAGACTGAAATACCTGTCTTCAGTGCAGAGATGCACAGGCTTTCTTAGCCTGGTGCACAAGAAGCATGGATCAGCAAGTCCCTGTTGTGACAACACCTTTATCCAGTGTATTTTATTGATGTACTTACTGCTTTTGTTGGATGTTCTTTTCGTTAGAGCTCCTTTCTGGTAGGCAAGAGTGGACGTCTGGCCTGAAACCAGCCCTCCTTTGTCATTGATAGTTGCAGACTTGGCTTGCCAAGTCTGAATTGTGCTGTTTGTTTGTTTTCCTGCCTTTCAGTGCTGGATTAGACATAGTGAACAAGTTTTTTTGCATCCCGAAGGATCACAGTTTTGTTTTTTTCTGTCAGAGAAGGGCTGTGACTCATTCAAACTGGTTGTTTAGATTGTTTCAAAGTTTTACGGTTGCATTGATTTTTATCTCCATATGGTTTTCCTCAGTCTAGAAGTACAATTTATGCTGTTAGAAAGGGCCAGCTGTTAAAAGGTTCAACAACCAGAAGTGCTCTGTCACTTTTCTGGTGCCGTTGCAGAAGCTTTCTGCTAGTAATTTTTAGATTTTTAATCCTGTATGCTGAGAAGGGTACCTATTCAAAAGCAGACACAACTCTAGTGAGTAGAAGATGGGAAGGCAAACCATTGTACGCTGTTGAACTTGCTCTGCTTTGGTTCAGTACAGCAGAAATGAATTTCTGAAGTCTTTAATGTGATCAAGGATAGGGTGAATGCAGTTTGTACCATTTCAAGAGGATGGCATGGAAAAAAGGCTATGTGTGAACAGGAGAGTAGTTTACAAACAAGTGTTGAGGCCAAGAGAATTGGCTAGCGAAGGGGAAATTAATGTTGGACAAGTAGAAGACAGAATGTAGGAAGTCAGGTGTCTGTGAAATATAAGAGATCTATGAATTCAGTTGTTAAGTTTAAAATATGTCTAATACTTTTATTCCTGGTTGGTTGTATAAAGTCAATTTTGGAAAAATCAAGGTGTGTTCACTTTGAAATTTTTTTTTTAAGTTTTACATCACATTTTGTGTGCAGCAACTTTGTTATTGTTGAATACTGCACATACCACAGAGACCCAGCTTGCTTTTCAAGAGCTGGTACACAAGTTCACTTTTTGAACAATTTACTTGTAAACTAGGAAACATTAACTGAAAGTTGCTTTTTCTAATTTTTTAAAGTAAATCTCTAATCCCACAAAGGCACTTTATAGGAAATTAAAAGAAGTAGTTAAAACATCAAAGCAAAAAGGGGTCACTTGTTCTCCTCAAAGATGCAAAACAAAACTTCTAAATTTATAATAGGCTATTACAATTAAAAATTAGATATAATAAAGATGAATGCATTTTAATGATTTGATACTCATTGCTTAGATTGCAAACTTTTTTTTTTTTTTTTAAA